GAGTATTAGCCTCGATCCACTATTTAATGCTTCCTCTGTTTCATTTTATGCTTATGCGACTTGCCAGGATGATTCGCTTTTGGTTTTGGAGTGAAATGGGACACTTAGTCCCTAAAACGGAAGCTTAAGCTCTAAGATTTTGATCGTAGTTGGAATTGTGTGAAGACGACTCGGGAATGGAGTTTTGTCGGTTCCGTTAGCTCCGTAAGGTGATTTTAGACTTAGGAGCGTGTTCGGATTGTGATTTGGAGGTCCGTAGTTTAATTAGGCTTGAAATGGCGAAAGTTGAATTTTTGGGAAGTTTGACCGGGAGTGGACTTTTTGATATCGGGGTCGGATTCCAATTCCGGAAGTTGGAGTAGGTCCGTAATGTCAAATGAGACTTGTGTGCAAAATTTGAGGTCAATCGGACGTGATTTGATAGGTTTCAGCATCGGTTGTAGAAGTTTAAAGTTTCAAAGTTCATTAAGCTTGAATTGGGGTGCGATTCATGTTTTTAGCATTGTTTGATGTGATTCGAAGGCTCGACTAAGTTCGTATGATGCTTTAGGACTTGTTGGTAGGTTTGGTTGAGATCCAGAGGGCCTTGGGTGAGTTTCAGATGGTTAACGGATCAATTGGACTTAGTGTTATAGCTGAAGCTTCAGAATTTGCTGGTGTCTGGTTTCTTTATACGCGATTGCGTGGGATGGTCCACGATCGCGTAGGCTAAGCTGGGCAGTGGAAGGATTTGTTCATCACATTCGCAGGCAGGAGTGTGCGAGCGCGTAGTTGTGTGAAGTGGTGCTTCGCGAACGCGTGGCCAAGGTCTCATTAGCGTAGTGTTTATGAGGCAGAAGCTGGAGCACGCGCTTTGTTCGTCGCGAACGCGTGATGTCGTTCGCAATCTGTAAGTCTGAGGGCCAGCACATCGCGTTCGCATGGAGTATTTTGTGTTTGCGTAGGGTTAATTTCTGGGGCAGCTAAGTTGTGCTTCGCGATCGGGAGGCTATTTCCGCGATCGCGATTAAGGAGCACCTGGGCAGATTTAATCATTTAAAAATTGAGGCTTTGCCATTTTCTTCATAACTTAAGATAGAGAGTAGGCGCTATTTTGAGGGTTTTTCAGAGGCAACGTTTGGGTAAGGATTCTACACTTGTTTTTGATTAACATCCACCAATCCCTCGTTAATTTTATCATTCAATTAAGGTTTTGGGTTGAGAAATTTGGAGAGAAAGTTGGAAAGTACTTAACCGAATTTTGAAGTTTTTATTGAGGTTTTGGTATTGGATTCGAGTAATTTTGGTATGGGTGAACTCGTAGCTGAATGGGTGTTCATTTTTTGTGACTTTTACCTGATTTAGAGACGTGGGTCTGGGTTGACTTTTTGGGGCGATTTTCTAAATTCTTGCTAAAGTCTTGATTTCATTAATTAGATTAGTTTATTATAGTTGTATTTATAGTATGTAATTGCTTTTGGCTAGATTTGGGCCATTCGGAGTCGCAAAATCGAGGAAAAGGCATTCTCATAGACTAATTGAGCTTGGTTCGAGGTAAGTGGCTTGCCTAACCTTGTGTGGGGGAAATCTCCTTAGAATTTGGTACTGTTGTGACAATTCTGTGATATGTGAGTGCCATGTACACGAGGTGACGAGTGCGTACACAGGCTAAATGTTGAAAATTTGATTTTTACTGAATAGTAACCTGTTATATCTTAAATGAGTCATCCCAACATGTGTAGTTATCCTGTTTAGCCTAATCTATGTGTCTTAAATGCTTATTTGAAATCTGTGCAGCATGCTTAGTTGAATTCCCGTCTTTCCTTGATTTGTATTAGTCTTAAACTATAGGATTCTTGCTGTTAATTGTTGTTCCATAGGTTTCGAGCTGTGTGTTTACTTTTGGGACTACGTGGCGGTACCTCGGGAGATTCCCATTGCATATTTACTTTTGGGACTACAAGGCGGTACCTCGGGAGATCCCCTGTTGCATATTTACTTTTGGGACTACGAGGAGGTACCTCGGGAGATCTCCCGTTGCATATTTACTTTTGGGACTACGATGCAGTACCTCGGGAGATCCCCTGTTGAGTATTTACTTTTGGGACTACGAGGCGGTACCTCGGGACTACCCCTTGTTGTTTACCCCTTATTTGCTGTGTAGCTTCCTTTTCTGTATTCCTCGTTAATAAATTCTAAGTCTTTCATTATATTGCTATATCTTCTGCTTTCTTTATTATATCCAGTAGGGCCCTGACCTGACTTCGTCACTACTCTACCGAGGTTAGGCTTGGCACTTACTGGGTACCGTTGTGGTGTACTCATGCTACTCTACTGCACATGTTTTGTATGCAGACCCAGGTACCTCTGTTGAGCGTACTTGTTGCTGCTTCGGAGACTTCAAGGTATATCTGCCAGCGCCCGCAGACCTCGGAGTCCCCCTCTATCCCTTTATGTTATTTTTTCTTTATTTTCCTAGATACGGATGTATAGACACACTTAAAACCATTTCTTAGAGCTTGTGACTTGTGACTACCGGGTCTTTGAGAGATATTTTTACTCAGTTTTGTTGGTTTTATTTGTATATGTCGAGCGGCAGTTTCCAGCTTTACCTATATATATATACACTGATGTTGTTATTCAGTTATTCCGCAACTGTTAGACTTACCTTGTCTTAGAAAGTAGGTGCCGTCACGACATTTTACGGAGGAAGATTTGGGTCGTGACAACAACAATAAATGAAGAAGTTAAACTCAACTATAAAACATTTCCTAACTTTCACATGAATCATGATGTTCAGATTAAAACGGTCCATTATCATTTTTTAGAAATTTTAAGCTTGAACATATATATTAGCTTAAGGTTTAAATTAAGCAAAGATTTAAGACTTTAAACTCTATAAGTAATAGGAAGTTGGTTAGGAGAATTCCAGAAAAATTCAAAATGAGAAAAGTGGCTTTTGGGCAGTTGGTTTAGCTGAGGAAAGTGGGTGTACAATTAACCTCTTAACAACTAACTCTTGAATAGACATTCCTCTAGTGTCAGGCTTTTGGCCGTCTATTCGTTCGGTTGTTTCAGTTTGAATTTTAAAGGCTGAAACATTATTCAAAATGAATACTAGAATTATATTTAATTAAAACAAACTAACACTATTTTATAAAATATTATGATTACATGATGTTTATTCACTAACTACTACGAATAAGTAAAAATAAAAATCAAAGTACTCGATCATCGTTAGTCACGGATCCATCACTGATCAACTGGATTATTTTCTATTAGGATCCTCAAAGAAGTCTGCCACATCCAAATGGATGATGTCAAATTTATTGTCAGAGATAAAATTAGCTTCATGACCTTTATTCTTTAGATAAAGCTCAATCAAATATCTTGGTGTATGATAAATATTTTTCCAATGCCCTTTTCAACCGCAATGATAGCATTCAGTTTCTGAACCTTTTGCCTTTGCCTTTGGTTTCATCCTTTCCTTTCCGCTTTTGGTGATTATTTTTCTTTGGGGGGTGATTAACACCAGGAAGATTTCTTCCTTGGCCACGGCCACAGCCACGACCTTTTTCAAGCTTTGCATAATGGGAATACATCGATTATCGTGATTTCTCATAAGCAACTTATTGTTTAGTTCAGCCATAAGGAGAAGAGAAATTAACTCAGAGTACTTCTTGAAACCTTCCTCTCGATACTGCTGTTACAAGACTATATTGGAGGCATGAAACATTGTAAATATTTTTTCAAGCATATCACAGTCAGTGATATTATCTCAACAAAGCTTCAATTTAGAAGTAATTCTAAACATCGCCGAATTATATTTAGAAATAGACTTAAAGTCTTGGAGTCTCAGATGATCCCAATCATATCGTACTTGTGGAAGTGTGACCAACTTTAGGTTGTCATATCATTCTTTTAAGCCATTCCACAAAACGAGTGGATCTTTAACTGTAAGATATTATATTTCCAACCCTCCTCAAGGTGATGGCGCAAGAAAATCGAGGCCTTAGCACCGTCTTGGGTAGATGCTTTATTTGTATATTTAAGGGCGTCTACAAGACCCATTGCATCTAGATGGATTCAGCATTCAATGCCCATTACATATAGTTCTTGCCCGAAATTTCAAGTGCAACGAACTTTCATTTCATAATATCAGTCATAGTTGAAAGAGGAAAAAATGTTACCTTAGTCTTCTCAAAAGAGTTTCTTGAGACGGTAGAGTCTTGTGCTGATAAAGTGTTATGAAATAAAAGCAATATATGAAGAACTATGTAATTAGCTAGAATTACTAATAGAAGAGAATGATAATATTAGAAAGGAACGTTTCTTTCTTCGTTTTCAAAGTATCTTCGTTAGGTCCATGAACTAACCTATTTATAGATAGTATTGCATTCTTACAAAACTTCCTAAATCTAGTTATGAGTCTCAAAACCAACAAAAACCTAGATATGACAAGATAAATATGGATATGACAAGATTTTCAAAGGGATTTTTACCTTCGTATACCATATATGAAACCTTATTACCCTCAATGTTTAAGTATTGTGTTAATTATATTTCAGCATACCAAATTACCATTTATATACCATAATTCAAATTGAGGGTATAATTAATGCTTCATTTATATTAGGCGTTAATTTAGGAGCGTATATTCTCCCATTTTCGTTTACCCGCCTCTCTCTCCTCCCACACCCCACACACCCCCACGTTTTACCTTCAGTTAATTCCCCCATTTTCGTATACTCGCCTCTCACCCACGTTTACCATCAGTTACCCACGATTCTATATTTTTCTTCTCCAGTTAATTTCACAAAATCCTATTTTGAAGTTGCATCGTCCCAAATAATGAAAAAATCAACACTCCCAAAAAAAAAGCTTCAAAAGCTACATTAGCTGATATCCCATCCTTTGATTTGGGTGTTTTAACACCAAAATCACCACCCAAAAACGCAAAATCGACACATGCAAGTGAACCTACTACTAGTATTTCATCTCCTAGACAAATCCGTGCGGAGATGAGAAGCAAGCATTTGCACGATGTTGATGCTGGTGGAGGTGATAAACCAGTCGAGAAACAACTCAAACGAAAGGGGAAAGAGTTGTGTATAGATGATGATTTTGTTGAAGATTCCTCTAAAATTCCATCTGTGAAAAAACCCAAGGTCTCTCCTTTTTCATCAAAATCAAAAAAGAAGAAACCCTCCAAAAAAGTACCAAAATTGGTTCACAAAAAGATTTTGGTAAAGGTAAACACTAATTATTTTTCTTTACATTTTTTTAGTGTGATTTTGGTTGTAAAAATCTGTTGTTCAAGTGTTTTTTGGTAAAATGTGGAATTGTCCAAATTTTGTAGATTGTTTGTCTCAATTTTGAAGGTTAATTGTAATTGTGATTTTTAGACAGTGCATAAATGTAGTTATTTTGTAGTTGTTTTGTAGGCTGCTGTGTAAATTGTAGATAAGGTATATTTTTCACCTTTTGTATGCTGCTACATTTACCTTCATACTAACTACAATTAATCTACATTTTGTGAGTTACTTGAACTAACTGTTATATTTTTGTAGTTATAGAGCTGTGGTTACCCTTTTCTTCCTTATTGTTTTGAGATAATGTTACATGTGTAGATGTTCTGTATTATTTTGTAGTTATAGGTGTGGGTAGGCTGTTCTTCTTTTAGTTATATTTTGTAGTTATCATGTAGTTATATGTAGATTACTGCTTCTTTTTTATGCAAACTACTAATGTTCAATAATTTTTTATTTTCTGCAGAATGGCCATTACTTTGCACCATAAAATGTTGATTATGGTGTGCTTAGATTCCACAGTTTGTGTGATCCGAGCATACCTAGCCAGATAAAAGCTTTACTCTCTCCAAATGCTTTAAAGCTTTTCCAAAAAACTTGTTTTGGTTACTTATTTGGTCTCCCCACCATCTGTATGCAAAACCAAACAATTCATCTTCTGATGAAGTATGAATTGTCAAAGTCTACTGACTCATATTTTTCAGTACTATTGAAGGGTGAAAAATTGAATTTTTCCTTGAGAGAATTTGGGTTGATTAATGGTTTAAATAGTGTGAATAATTTTTCAGACTATAGTTACACTTCCACTTATGTTAGCCATTTAATGACTACCTATTTTCCGAACAAACAAAGGGTTGAAAAGTGGCATTTGAAAAATGTAGTCACAAATAAAGTTTGGGCAAACGATGAGGATGCAGTGAGGTTGTGCATTCTTTATCTGTTGGAATTTTTTGTTTGTCCTTCTGATAAAGACCATGTGTCTTTCATAGACAAGTTTATGTTCTTTCTGATAGAGTCTGGTAATTTTGAGTCATACCCATGGGGTATCAAATCCTTCAAGCAGGTTATTGAATCTGTCCGACATCGTCTTAATCCCCATGTACATTCTTATCTGATACGGGGATGCTCATTAGCCTTGCAAGTGTGGCTATATGAGTGTTGCTCGTCCGTCAGCACGGAGCTTGCTACGAGGTGTTCTGAATCTATACCTCGCATTTTAAGATGGTCAGCTACAAAGGGCCAGATTTGGTTAACTGCAATTGAAGAGAAGATGATCAAGCCTGAGTGGCTCAAGGTATATTTTTTCACTTTTGTATGATGCTACATTTACCTTCATAATAACTACAATTAATCTACATTTTTATTTACTTGAACTAACTGTTATTTCCATCATTCAGTTCACAAGCATGACTGAATCTGGAGAAGAGATTGGAGTGCTTAATCTTCCAGACAAGATTCAGTATGAAGATGAACATGGTGCTCAATCATCACAGGTTCCAATTGATGCTTCTCCAACATTTGAACCAAAACATACAGATTGTCAAGAGGACACTGAATCTGTGACTAGCAAGCTCAGGAAGTTGGAAAAGGGGATTGAGCAGGTAATATAAGTAACTACAATATATTGACATTTTTTGCTACAATTTAACTTCATTCCATAACAATTATTGTATGTTATACATTGTAGTTAATTTGTGGTATAATTCTATATTGAGCCCTATTGGTATTGCACAAATCATTGTTAAATTGTTGTGGAACTGTAGCACTTTGAATAAGATTAACAACTAATTATATATTTAATTTTTAGGTTGATGGAAAGTTAGTTGAATTTAGTAAGGCTGTTTTTGAGGAACTCTCAAGCCTTCGAGAGTTCATAGATGTTTCTGTGAAGAGTGTTATGAAGGTGATAAACAGCAAGTACGATGTGGACGAGTCAAGGGTAAGAATTGACATATATTTTTGTACTAAAACTAATTATGACATATGAAACAAGTATACTCAAACATACCCAAAAATTGTAGTTTGCTGGTAGTTCAACCAAAAATAATGATCAACAACAACGAGAGAACAACCAGCAATTTCAGTTCAACATTGGTGATCAAGTGCATGCAAGTACAAGCAATACCGGTATCTACAGAATTCCTACAGATATATCTACAAACTTCAAGAAAGCATTATCTAATTATATTAACCCCTTTTTCACTATGTTTTGCAGCTGCAATTTCTCCGGACCATGTCCAAGCACATGTTGAGGAAGAACCAGAATTTGAAGAAGTAGCTGAGGCACAACAAGCAAGTATAATATCAGAAGCTCATTATATTCACTTTATATCTACAATATTGTGCATAACTACATACATCTACATTTATCTTCAGAAGCTGGAGTTTCTCCTGGAGCTGTGCCAGCAATGGTTGAGGAAGAACCAGGATTTCAGGAAGGAGCTGAGGTAGAAAAAGCAGGTATAGTATCATAATATACTTTTGAATAGATAATTGTTGCTTATACACTTATACAATACTGTTAAGTATGTTATTTTATATGTAACAGATATTGAAGATAACGTTCCACAGTCGCCAATTCACGGTGCGACTGTGAATGAACTTGTTCCTGAAGGTTCAGGCATTGACAAGAAAGGTCTGACATTGGATGACTTTGAGTTGCTAGACAACTTAACACAATTGGTCATGTATGTCGAGCCCATACCAGATGAAGCAACCCCTATTCATCCGGGTAGAACCAGGCAACCGGGGAAACATGCACGATCACCTTTCACACCTCTGTATAGTTCTGGAGGCAGCACCTATGTCGGACCTAAATTTTTCTACCTCAAGCACCCCTTCACAACTGTTATAGGTGAAAATGTAGATGCTGATTTGATAGAAAGGTTCACCAACTGGTTATACCTTCGTAGTGACAAAGTATCTAAGAGGTATGAATGCTTAATTTTACACTTTCATTTCACCATTTTTAAACTTTAAATATGTAATTCATTCTGTCATTTTTTTTTTATTTGATATTTTTTTGTTATTACAGGAGGAAAGAATACTTTTCCAAAAAGGATAACCAAATCAAGCCTTGGTTAGACCTTGGTTGTGAAAAGGTGGATAAGAAGGACTGGTTTTATGCCCTTGCTCACCCAGGACAAGTCATCAATAACACGGTAAGTATAAAGAACAGAATCATTCACAATATGCGTTTTGTCTTCAGCTGTGTAGTGTAATTCTGGTTATATTATAGTTTTGTCTTCAGCTGTGTAGTGTATTTGTAGTTATATTGTAGACAAGATATATAGGTTACTATGTTTTGTCTTCAGCTGTGTAATTGTGCTTTTTATGGACCTTATGTCTCATATTTGATGATGATTGTACGTACAATTTGGATTTTTTGGTACTTTGGACAGAATTGGAAATACCTGTGTACCATAATTGTAGTTACTTTGTAGTAACATTGTAGAGAAATTTACATAGACTTATAATATTAACTGTAGGTTGAATTTGGTTATTTTTGAGACCTTATGTTAGTTGCTATGTTGCATTTGTTCCTCTGTATAGTAGCTAAAGTGTAGCAATCTGTTAGATTATTTGATTAGTTCAAATTGTAGTTTAAGTTGTAGCTGTTATGTAGATAATTGTGGTTACTATGTAGCTTACAATAGACTTTATTTTATTTTGCAGCACATTGATGTTATTATGTATTATTTGAGAAAAAGAGGCAAGTATGGCCCCAACAACGACATTAGGTTCACAACAACCGATTGCTTGTTCAGGACCAAGATTGAACGAATCTATGACAAGTTCATAAGTTCTCCACCAGAACTTAAGTATTCGGTTGTTAAATCAGATGATGATGTTGCAGAATATATCCTTGGGTATAGACTTCTTGCTAATGTTGCCTGGGATGTAGTTGACTATGTCATCATGCCTGTGAACATTGTAGAGAATTTCCATTGGTTGTTGCTCGTTTTCGACATAGCGGACAGGCAACTTTATGTTTACGATTCCATGGTTTCTTCAAACCGTCATAATACTGTTGAATCATTGGTTGATAAGTTTTCAATCATTATCCCTCTGTATTTGTCTTGCACTGGTTTCTACGGGAAATGTAAAGACATTGACTTCAAGACCACAAAGGCATACATTGAGAAACCAGTTACAGACCCTCTCAACATACAGTGGATGGTTGCGGAGATTCCACAGCAAAAGGAAGGATCACTGTAAAAAAACTATTCTCACTTTCTATATGTTTAATTATTTTATTTTAATCAATTGTTACATAATGAAAAAATTTGATCTTATGCAGCGATTGTGGTGTATTTGTGGCGGCTTTTGCGGAGTATGTTAGCCTTGGAGATTTGGCAATCCCAAAAGAAGATCTTTCTGATATCGACCAACACCGTAGACGCTATGGAGCTCTACTATGGGACTATGCTGCAAAGAAGCAAGAAGATGGGTCAATCAGTGAAAGTGAGGTTACAGGCAGGCTATTAAGGAGGAAGGGTGCTCCTGCTAAAAATGAGAGGACTAGAGTACAGAGAAAGAAGAAATAGAGTCTTGTGTTCCTAGTTTAGTTGATGTCATTTTGTAGTTGAAGTGGAATACACTGTAGGAAATATGTCATTTTGGTTGTTTACAGCACTTTATCTTCATTACATTAAACTCGAGTACTCTAATTTGCTAGAATACAATTCGCCTTTAATCTTCAAGTAATTTTTATGAAATACCTTCAAGTTCTAGGTAATTTCTGTATATAACTGTCATTTGTAATTAAGGTACACAGCCAAAAGATGAAATAAATACAGGAATCATATAAATAAATTATCCACAATTTATCTACAAATCATCTACAAATTATTAACAAGACTACAATTTAAATACATTTAAACTACATTTAAACTACATTTTAACTACAAATCATCTACAAATTATTAACAGGACTACAATTAGACTACATTTAAAGTACATTTTAACTACAATCTGGAAACACTTTACATTGAATGAATTCTTTATTAATATCAGTTGTTTTGTATATAGTAAATATTAAAGTTTAACTAAGCTATAAAAAATGACAAATTAAGATGCCTGACAGAATACATAAAATCATATTAAATGCAAATAAAGAAATTGTATTATACTTCATAATCATCTTCAAAAACTTGAACGATTACACAAAAAAATCGGATAATTTGAACTCACTAACATTTATTTTGAATAACTATTCTAACTACATGATATTCATTTCTTTTTGGGCGCATTCTTGCAAGTTCTTTTGTTATGCCCTTCACCTCCACAATTTCCACATGACACCTTGTACTTCTTTGACTTTATTTCATCAAATGTTTTATATCTTTCCTTGTGAGGTCTCCCTGCCTGCCTTTTATCTCTTGCTGGTGGCTTTACTACCTCATCCAAAATATGTTGTGGCACATCCCATTTGCTTTTATCAGGAAGAGGATTTACTGGCATTTCATAGGTAAGCAGAAGGCTCTTCCTTGTGTAATACGGAGAGCAATAGTTTTCGTATGTTTCCTTCCTGTGCCTTAATGCTGCCAAAGCATGCGCACATGGAAGTTCATCAAGTTGGAATTGTCCGCAGCTACATTTCTTGTTTTCTAGACACACAATGTACCGCTTCACACCATCTAACACAGTATGTATATGATCTGAGAACAAACAGAAATAATAATATATCAATCATTAAAAAGGATTATCCACAACTTACCTACAAATCAGCTACAAATACATTACAACTTATCTACAATCTACAATTACCCACAATTTGACTACAGTTTATCTACAATTTGGAAACAATGCATATTAAACAATTTTTTTTCACCAAACAAATAGATCTTACCCTTAGTTTCTGAGATAATGTATTGTTGTCATCCAATTCTTTGTTGAATTTGTACCCAAGGTATGTGAAAGTACCCTTTGCCTTCAATAACTTCTCTTTCGTCCAACGTTCAAGAAGCGTCCTCATATACTCTAATAGATCATATTTGCAGCTCTCTTGCCTCTTTTGTTACAGCATTCAACGACTCGGCAATGTTTGATGTCATAGTAAAAGTTCTATTCACCGTTGCATGTACTATTGACCATCTATGATAGCCAATATCATATAGGTAAGATTTTCAACGCGCGGGTCTACCTCTTCAAATCTTCAAACTNCTCCATGCTTGCATGTAGCTTAGGTTCAGTCCATGTTCGGATAACATGTCAGTTTGTATGTCCTTTGGTGTGTAAACAGTCTTAGGATTACAATACTTTGGAACGACCATGCTACCAACTACAGCTGCAGTACGTTTGCGCTGTATGAATGTTTCGTCCATTAAGGAGCATGTGTGTTGTCGGCTGAAACTCCTTATCTTGAACATTGCCGAATCATTAATTGACGTTGCCTTGAAGTGCCATTTACAGTTTTCAGCAACGCATATAAGCCAGTAGCTACAAAAAAAATACAATATTTAATACAGGCTATAGATGTAGAATCAACAAAAAGGACTGTTTTAACACAAATTCGTCAAAACTACAATTAACTACAGTTTAACTACAATTTAACTACAATTTATAAAAATCACATATCTTCACTAAAACACTGCTTTTATTGATCTATTCTCCACAAATAACTCCATACCTTCTATGACTTGATCTTTTTACTCTGACCTGGAACTTGTGCATCACAGAAAAATTCTTCATTGCAGCAGCTACAGTTTGCTTGTCCTGATAAACTTGTCCTTCTTCAATATATGTTTGCGTAGATTCAGTTATTATTTCACTTTGATATTCCTCTATAGCTGGTGAGGATGGAATTTCAAGTAACTTTAGGGATCCAGACGAACCTGCAGCAACATAGAGATAAATGTAGTAACTATGTAGATAATTTTGAAAACGACATTGCTTTATGAGCTTCAGTACGTTGTTTTTTGTAGTTAATTTGTAGATAAATGTTGTAATATTGTAGATAACACACTAACACAATAACTCTCTGCAATGTCGAATTAAACATACCTGCACTTGTGCTTTTGTTGGTGATTGCCAATTCCATATTGAAATCTCTTACGCTTATACATAAAGAATACGAACCTAAGTTCTTATTCTCCTTTTTGGTCTCCATATACACACGAACCCCCATATCATTCCTAATCTCCATTGGAGGACAATTGTCGTTCACAATGTATTTGATTTCTACAATTTTATCCGATGTATCAATCGATAGTTGTTCTGCAATTGTAGAAATCAGAATTCCGTAGCTTGCATTCTCATCTACCACAATGGCATCAACTTCAAAATCTCTAAATCTGCCATAGTTATCCCAATTTCCATTCAATTTTAGCATTATTGGAATTTTTGACATGATTTAGTGTAGTTGAGAGAAAAGAGATGAAGAACAGATATAGGTTCGACAATTTGAGTACTGAGGTCGATGAAGAACAATTTTGAATTCTACAATTTGTATTGCGTTGTAAAATTTGTAAAAGCAAATTGAGTACTGGAGCTCCTGAAGCTTGCGTTGTTTTAGAATTGTAGTGAATGAGAGAATTACGCAGCAATGAGATCTCTTTACGTTTCAAAATTCGAATTTAATGTGGAAAGAATCAAACGCAGATTTCGTGCCTTCTTTTTAGCGCGTTTTAAATGGGAGAATCTGCTTAATTATGGATTGATATATAAATTGTAGTAAAAGTGTGGACTGGGCAGGTAATTAATAAATTATGAACATTTTTGGTAATAAGGTTTTATATATGGTATAGATAGAAAAAAATCCCATTTTGAAATCGCAAGTTGGACATCCATCCTCTGTGCAAGTAGATTTATAACATCTATTATAATGATATATAGATAAATGTACACCCTTAGACACAATTGAGAGTGACGGTCCTGGGGTAAGGGTGTTCATTTGAAGTCTCGGAGGTCTACGGTTCGATCTTGCTTAATAAAAATAAATTTCTAAAACAATATAAAAAAAATATTTAAAGATGTATTTGTGCTATAATATAAAAATTAATAAAATTTTGCAAGTTAGCACTTGGGTATATGCATTGCATGTATATTTCATGTTAGTTATAAAATTTATGTCAGGTAATTTACCAATAATTGAAATTTTTTTATCTATTAAAACTGTAACCTTATCTTTTCCAAACTCAATTATAATTGCAATTAGATTTTTTTACCTTAGTTTGATCGTTATCTTATTCTACCCATGATTTCTTTCTAAAGTATTTCTTTTACTCGGGACCAATTACATATATATGCCATTTTCCTATTCATCGTTATCTTATTTAAAATAGATTTAACATTTAAAAAGATTATTATTTGGTTATTTTCTAATATTTAGACAATATAAATGAACTAAAAAATTGAGTATACTTTCAATTCTCGGTCTTTCTATTGTTCAAAGAAAAAAGAGCGTCCTAATTTTCAAAATCTAAAATATTGCCTACCTCTTACCTTAAATATTTATCATCATTGATGCTTCCATATATTTTTAATACAAATTTGTGTTTTTCATACATTTTTAACGTGCTCTTTATTATCATAAATTAGTTAGATACTTTAATTTCATTAATTTACTCTTTTTTCACAGAATATACATCCATGAAAAATATCATATAAAAAAATATTATTATGTTACATATATAGTTTTAAATAAAGAAAATAGTTTATGTAAGGTAGAATTTTAATTGGCTTTAAATTCCTAAACTTTAAGACTTCTTAGCTAGTTCAAATAAGTAAATATTTAATAATCAAAATTTTAATCGATTTCAAAGTACTAAATATTAGGATAATAATTAAATAATTTTTTTTTCTAGTGCGAACTCTATTATTTAAGGATAAAAAAGGCGAACGACATTTCGGTAAGGGCCTTCGTGCTTTTAATGTAGTACTATGCTAGCTCATAAGAAGATACATTTTAGTGATTTATCTTTAATTGGTTTTGCCCTAAACTTATTGACTTACACTGAAATTCGGTGTATCAGTAGTTAGGTGCATTTTCCAGGTAAAAAATCTAATTGCAATTAAAATAAAAAATCATGAAATAACAGAATAAACAACTACTACGGAGTACTATATATACGAAATAAAGTTATATATATGTAAACTCATACATGATATTGATAGGAGTACTTTCAGAGATACTTCTGAAAATGCAACGACCAGAGGGATCACTAAATCCCAAAATACTTACAATTGCAACACTAGGGTGCAAAAGTTAGAAATAAAGAGTTTACACGAGATTAACTTATAAATACAATAGAGTTGAGGCCCAGTTTTTAATCGAATTAATAAAAACCTTGCATAAAGGGCTTCCAATAACTATTAATTAGCTTAGTATATAGCAGCTTCCAATATTTATTGTCTTGCTTTTAAAGTCTTTTACGCAGGAGATTTGATTTGGGCATCTTCATGATTTTTACCATCTTTAGCCTCTCCATTTTCACTGCCCATGGATGGTAAACTAACTGGATAAACCTCAAAATTAACTTTTGTAGGTGATAATAGGTGAATTTGACTATAATCACACCTTAAATAATCACCTTCTTGTGTAGTTTTTAATGCTAAAAGTGATGACAAAATGCTCTTATTAGTGATTTTCATG